AAAAAAAACCCTCATAATATTTTAGATAAATTTATGATTTGGTATTGAGCTGCATTCATTGCCACCTTGGGCTGCATGCAGGCTGTGGATCATGGGTTGGATACTCCTGAATTTAGACTGTCATCTGATTACTCAACAGAAACATTTCAAGCCAGAAGGGAATGGTGTGAAACATTCAAAGTGATGAAAAGCAAGGACCTACAACCAAGGCTACTTTACCCAGGAAGGTTATCATTTAAAATCAAAGGAGTAATCAGGAGCTTCCCAGACAAGAAAAAACTAAAGGAGTTTAACACCAAACCAGCACTGCAACAAATGTTAGAGGGCTTGCTTGAAAAAGAAGAAAAAGAGAAAGAAAAAACAGAAGAAAATAGTTTAAGAGTAAAATGGCACTAAATACTGTTTTCACTTATCAAGGTGATTAAGGTGATTATCTATCAATAATCACCTTAAATGTAAATGACATAAATGCTCCAACCAAAAGACATAGAGTAGCTTAATGGATAAGAAAACAAGAGCCATATATATGCTGCCTCAAGAGGCCCACCTCAGATCAAAAGATATGTATCTTTCACAGACAAAAAGTAAAGGGATGAAGAAAGATATTTCATGCATATGGAAAGGGAAAAAAAGCTGGGACAGCAGTACTTGTAACCACCAAAATAGACTTTAAAACCAAGACTATAGTGAGACACAAAGAAGGACACTACATAATAATAAAGGGAACAATCCAATAAGAGGACATAACTCTAGTATAAACATTTATGCACACAACATAGGAGCACCTAAATATGTGAAGCCAATCTTGATGGATGTGCAGGGAGAAATTTACAGAAATACAGTCATAGTTGAGGGTTTTAACACTCCATCAACTTAAATGGATAGATCTTCCAGACATAAAATCAACAAGGAGGCAGCAGCCTTATATAGGACTTAAATGTTAGATCCCAAAATATAAAAATCCTAGAAGAAAACAGGCAGCAAATCTCAGACATTGCTCACAGCAATGTTTTATTGGATATATCTCCCCAAGCAAGAGAAACAAAAGAAAAAAAATAAATGGGACTATATCAAAGTAAAAAATTTTTGCACAGCAGAGGAAATCATCAACAAAATAAAAATACAACCCACAGAATGGGAGAACATATTTGTCAATATATCTGGTAAGGTGTTAATATCCAAAATTTATAAAGAACTTACAAAACTCAACACCAAAAACACAAACAACCTAATTAAAAATGGGCAAATGACCTGAATAGACACTTCCCCAAAGAAGACATTCAGATGGCCAATAGACGTATGAAAAGATGCTCAACATCACTAATCATCAGAGATATGCAAATTGAACCCACAATGAGATAACCTCTCACACCTGTCAGAATGACCATCCTCAATAACAAACAACAGGTGCTGGTGAGGATGTGGAGAAAGGGGACCAAACTCTTTTGCACTGTTGGTGAGAATACAGACTGGTATAACCACTGTGGAAAGCAGTATGGAGATATCTCCAAAAATTAAAAATGGATCTGCCTTTTGACCCAGTGATCCCACTTCTGGGAATATATCCAAAGAAACCCAAAGCACTAATCCAAAAAAACATAAGCACCCCTATGTTCATTGCAATGTTATTTATAATCACCAAGATACGGAAGCAGCCTAAGTATCCATCAATAGATGAGTGGATAAACAACTATAGGACATTTACACAATGGAATTCCACTTGGCCATAAAAAAGAAGAAAAATTTACTCTTTGCGATAGCATGGATGAATGGATCTAGAGAATGTTATGCCAAGTGAAATAAGCCAGGCAGAGAAAGACAAATACTGTATGATTTTGCTCATATGTGGAATCTAATGAACAAACTGAGCCAATAAGAAACTAGAGATGGACTCCATAGATGGAGAGCAGGATGACAGCTATGGGTGTTGGTTAGAGGTTGGAGGGATTGAGCAAAAAGGTAAAAGGACTCATGGACATGGCAGTGTTGTTATTGCTGGGGGGAGGAGGGTGTACGGGGACTAAATGGTACTGGAAAAAATGGCAATAAAGATTAAATAAAAAAATTAAGTACAGCATAGGAAAGAAATCTAATCAGTAATATTGTAATAACTATATATGGTGCCAGGTGTCTATTGGAAATATCAGGGGGAAAATTTAGTAAAATATATGATTGTCTAACCACTATGCTGTATGCCTGAAACGAGTACAAAATATTGAATAGAAACTATAATTTTAAAAATTTTAAAAAGTTTAAAAAATATTAACACTATTTTATATTATATATAAAATATTCAATGTTCAACAAATTATTTTGAGGTTCTTGTATTATTTTAAATTACCACTCAAAACTTTGAACAGGTAGAATCCAGGAATATTAAAATCTGTTTGATTAATTGTGCTTCTTTTCCTAACTTAAACTGAGAGATAATCTATTTTGAGACACAGTCAATATAATGAAATTACAATGGCCTGAACTAATGTAGAAAAGCTCAGGAGGCCTCTCTTAATGATCAAGCACAGTGACCTATGGGAATGAAAATCTTCAACTTGAGTCAATATCAGATACCTTTAAGTAAAATCTAAACCTCACCTTAACCAATATCTTATTTTTATCTTTTGTACTTCAGTCTCATCTGCAAGGTAAAATTATTGCTTTCATTCTTTAGCATCTTTAATTTTTATACATAGGCAGATGTTGATGGAGGGTTTTAATAGGGATCTAGCACAAAGTTACACTACAGATTTTGTATGACCTCTCCTTGGCAATTGTTTGTTTTTGTAAATAAAAAATCTACTTAAATGAAAGAATCATCTTAGTTTGAATATTCTGAGCTATTTAGTATCAAAGAATGGAGGATATAAGTCCTGATAATGAAAGTTTAAGCTAATATCTCCACAGTATGCAAACTCTGACCTTTAATGAAAACATTTTGTGGTGATATATCCTTACTGGGTTTTCTCTTTCTTCTTTGTCCATGGACAGATTATCTGGAATTATTGGTTTTTATGTTTCTTAACTTGTGTTAACCCTGAAGCTTCTATATGGGGTTGTATAAAAGTTCACAGACATAAATGTGAGGAAGAAATATTTAAGAAGCAGAGCTAATATTAAAGAACAGATTGGCAAAATAGTTTGTATTATTTATAGATAAAATTACTTAAATTGTTTAAAATATTACATCTGATATTACTCTGATTTGAACATAGTGAGAATGGATCAAAGAACAGCAAGGCATGAAAATGATCATATAACATAATAAACAGTTAATATACTGGTTATTAAAATTATATTAAAAGAAATTTGTGTACTATGATACAAAAAGGGAAAATGAACAGACTTGGGCCATGTTTAAACTGATGTTAAATAGGATTTTTTCCTATTTAAGGTTCTGAAAATTCTTCCTGTGATTTGAGGCCCTAGTCAATTTCCCTCATGTCTTGTATGTGACCCAAGTCTCTCAATTAAAATCAATGAGTTTTTGTTGTTTCATCACATGGCCTTTATTTCTTTTTTTGCATTCTGTTTACTCTGCCTTATGTTAGAGTTCATGATAGAGTAGAAAGAACACAGCATTATAGTCAAAACCCAGTTTAAACTATCTGAGTCCCAGTTTACTCATTGGTAAAATGGGTAGAGAAGTAGGAACTCCTGTGGTTCCGGTGAGGATTAAACTGGAAAGCACAAAGTACCTGCCACTGAGCAGGCACTCATATGTCAGTCTTTCCCATTTGTGAGTTTCATGTCTGACCTCACCTGTAGTCTGTAAACTCATTTAGCACAGGAAATGTGTTTATATTCATAGTGCCTTGTGCATAGAAGTTTCTAAAAGATTACATTGTTGAATGTAATTTACTGTCTTGCTGTGTGAGCTTAATACTGTTATTTCCCCTTTCTTTTTCCTCTGCCACCTTGGATTGAGATAAACATGTTGCTTTCATGAAACTGAGGATTTAATTCAGTAGAATGCCATTATAATATGACTTATTCCATAGAGTTTTAAATAGTAAGGGTCGAATCATTTCCCTGGAAACTTAATTATATTGTGTAAAATTCTATTAGCCTGTCTCATAGCATCATAGTCACAGAGGAGTTCTGGTGTGTTCAAGATGAAGTCTCTATCTAATGTAGAAATCTATCCAATGGCACACAGTGAGCATATGGGAAATAAATAACAGAAAGAAAGAGAAAATGCAAATGTCTTGCAAATGACATTACTTGACATTTTCAATCACTAATCCTCCAAAGTATGTTTTAATTTACTAAAATAAACCAAGAATTTAATTTCTTGTGACTTCCCTTTGCTTAATTATTTAGTAGGAGAACAATATTCTGTGATCCATTGCAATTTGTCTCCTTTGTGTTTATCTAGTATCTGACTTAAAAATGAACGGAAACATTCTGATTCAGCAGAACTGATTTCCTAACTTATCTGTGTTATAAAACAGAAATGAATAAATGTTTGCTGAACATGCTACATATGCTTCAATCATCAAAATGTTAGTTTTTTTACCTTCTCAAAATATAAGATCTGAGAGATCTTCCTGCCTGAAGTTGGGTGGGTGCCTTTTCCACATAGATATTTATACAGAGGCAAGCAGCTACTTTTAAGTAAATTTGTTTCCATGGTTGGAATGTGAGAGCTCTTTTAATATCTCCTTATATGATTTGAAATTATACATTCATTGCACTTTTTTTCTTTAAAAGTAGCAGTATATGCTAAGACATGAAGAGTTTCTTTTTTCAAATCCAGTATGCTCTTTTGTTGAAATGAGGACTAACTGGACTTTCTTTTATGCATTATGTTGTTTGTACAGTTTCTAATTCTTCATAATCAATTGCTAATTATTTTATTGAAAGACAGTTAGCTAGCATTTATTATCTCTGTTTTATGAAAGGGAGAAATTGAGGCTCAGCATCAACTATTTCTGTTAGCTAGTTAGAAATTTGAGGAGAAATATGCTGCTATCTTACTGATTTACTTTTGTTTTTAATTTCAGTTTCAAAGGACATTTGAGTCTCTTAAAAATGTTTCCAATGCATCTGACCTCCAGAAAACCTACCAGAAGCTTGGGAAGGAGCTGGAAAATTTGGATTATTTAGCTTTCAAACGTCAGCAGGTAGGAGTCAGACCTTTCCTCGGTGGAGGAGATGAACCTCCAGGCTTTGTATGATCTTGCTGGTCAGGTTTAGGCAGGCCTGGGGACACGCCCTTCTAATGTTTGGGGCAGAATATAGATTGTGCTGTGTTGTGTTGACCTACCTGTTCATATGACTTCCTGTAGCGTTCCCTGTGGTTCTTACTTTTAGATATGCACTATAGGGATTTCTACGTGTGTCCTTTTACCCCTCTTAAAGAAAACTGGTTTGTAAAGGTACAACTACCCTTTGACTAAGGATGCTTCAGTGGCCTCAAGGGACCCCCTTGTGAATGCTTGACCAGGTGGGGGATACATGGTAAAAATCACCTGAAGACCAGGTAAAGGATGTGGTTGTAAATACAATATTGAGGAAAAGGGTAATAAATATGCCAAAATATAAATTAGTCTTTAGTTTTCTTATTTGATCTCTGAAGATTCATAAAAATTTGCTAAATATATAAGGTTACAGGAAAACATACTTTACAAATGCAAGTCTTTTTGCCTCCTTATATAGACACCAAGATAAATTCAGAGCCAAAGCAAACCAAGGTTGCTTTTAGAACTAGTATTTTATAATATTAATAACCATTACATTCTCTGTGTTCGTGAGATACTGCCATAGCAGCTTCTTTTCCCAAGCAGGAGCGTCTCCAGCTTCTCATGGCCACTAGGTGGCAGGGTTGTCAAGCTTTTACTTTGATGGAATGTTTATTCCCATCAGAAATGCCAGTCAGATGTTTAAATTAGGTTACATGAAATTTGGGAATGTGCTCAATGATGGATAGCGTCTAGAAAAATGACTAAGTGGCTGACTTGGATGGCCAGGCACCAAGTCCATTACTTAAGAGTCTTTCCTGTTAGTGTGGCAAAAGGTGTGGCTTTCTTGCTATTGCCAATTTCACAGATTTTTTGATCTTTGGATGGGGGTTTTTAAAGCAGGACTTCCTATGAGTACTTACACCTCATGAAGTCAACATAATATGGTGTAGAAATATTGACTTGAAACGAGAATTGTGTTTTAGGTTTTGCTTTATCACAGACCTTACATGGGTATTTAATCTTCACAAGGCCCTATTTTCCTGGGAGCTATAGAATGTTCTGGGCAAATGTAATATCTCTGCACGTACTTTATATTAAAAAGGACACACAATCCATTGAAGGTTTTTTTTTTTTTAACCTATTTTTAAATTAGTGAGGGCCTAGGCATTAGTACATTTAACAGAAGAAGTTACAGTTACTGAGAACCACTACAGTACGCTTCCAGGTGATGCTGCTTAAAATTCACACCATGAGTCACTACCCTGGCCCATGCAACTTTTACTACAGTTTTGTTTCCAAGAGCCATATTTTACCACTGAGGAGTATTTGAATTGGCAGGCAGTAGTCACTGTTCTCTTTTCTTATCCTTTCTTATTAACGCATTCTCAGTAATTAGATTCTTACATTAGCTAATTGTGACTTTGGAAAAATAGAAATGCTTCAAGGGCAGAACTCTGGGAGAATGGCATTGAGGAGAGTTAGGTAAATTGCCTATGTGTGTGAGAAAAATATAAGCACATAGAGAGTGTGTATATGTGTATTTATGTATATATAAATCATATATATTATTTATTAAATGGCAACTACCTGCTACATAGTGCAACTAATACATTTATGTATTAGATAATTAAATGCTTATGACAATATGAAGGGGTTGGGTTTATGAGCACCATTTTACAGATGAGAAGACTGTTAAAAGAGTTAAGTAATTTGCCAAGGTTACTGGGCTAATAAGACATGAAGCTGGGCTTCCAGGGTAGATCAGTCTGCCTCCAGACCTGGGCTTTTCCATGGTTTCCTTCCCAATATCCCTTCAGAGACCCTGGCTGGGGGATAGCGAAGTGAGGAGTTCTAGGCATGCGGATGAAATGAAAGCAATTTTAGGAGAGCCAGACTGAGGGCTTTAAAGAAACATTTGGGAATGCCCACCTGGTGAGAGGCAAAAGACAGGACCAACTCGCATGTTTTCTCTCTCTCTCTCTCTCTCTCTTTCTCTCTCTCTATTTCTCATGCAGATCCTCCAATATATACGAAACACAAAAGGATTTTTTTAAAGAATATATTCAGACAGCTAAAAAATGTAAAAAAATTTATCTTCACAATTTTCTAAGTGTTATGTCTAGCAACTCTAGTTCTAGTGAAATTTATTCACACAAAGCATTTTTTTTTTTTACTCAAAGGGACAAATCCTTATGAAGTGGACTTACCTGCACATGTAACATACTGTCAATCTTTGTCTTACTAACTCCTTCTTTTCCTTAGCTACTGATCATTTCTTTTTTCTTCCTGCAAATGACAGAAGAGGAATTGGAGGGAAGTGGTCAGAAAGAGAAGGATGGTAGAAAGTCAAGGACCACAGAGTTGTGGAGAAAGAGGGAAGAGCCTAATAGGGATAAGATAGGAGGAATAAAGTGAGGGAAATTAAAATGTACTTGTTTTTTTTTTTACTACATGCAACTAGTAAGTTAAAATGTTGATTCTTAAAAATTAAAAAAATCTCAGAATAGAAAAAGGGAGGGAAAAAAGAGAATACAGGAAGACATAGAAAATGAGGGAGATGGCAGAGAACAGCAAAGACAAATATTGTTTTCTTCCCATTTTACTTCTGAATGTAGTAGAACTTCCTAGAAATTTGTAACATTGACCAAGTTTTTCTGTACCAAAGCCACAGATGAATTGTTGTATTTCCTGGGTGGGCAGGGTTCAAAGAGCCAGAACACTTGCTCTTCCCTGACTTGGTGACATTGGCCTTCTTATCTCCCATTCTACCACTTTAAAGCCCCCAAACCTCTTAACCACTCCCCAGTGAGTTTCTCCTACTGGAACAGATTCAGCTATCTGTACAATTGCAATACAGCAAGAAAGGCTTGCCTTATAAGGCAGGACTCTTTGTCCCAGAGAATTAGTCATGCTTTGTTTTCTGGTCCAACCGTATTTATCACTCCTTGTGACAGAGCAGAAGCTCCATAAGGACAGGGCCTCATCTGTCGCCTTTGATGCTGTATTCTCTGCAGTGCTCCCAGCAATATCTGACCCATGGCAAATGCTCAATAAATACTTGTTGGTGCTGTTGTTACCATGAACAAGAAAACATGCAAAAGCTTTGGCTTCAGGTTATAGGCAATTAAAATTGATGTGTTACTACATTTTTAAAATTCATAACTGCCCTAACCCTTTGGCTTTCTGGATACCAAGACTGACCGGTTGCCCGTTGCCTTATGTATTATAGGTTTTCTGTTTACATGTTTCATTTTCCATCCTTTCTTTAAACAGAAACAAAATTTCAGTGTTACCTTAACTGTGAGTTATGGGTGTCCAATGAATTTACTGTACTTATTATCTGGACTCATTCATTAGATTTTATTTTCTGCCCCTTTCTATGACATTTTAAACATGATTCTGAGAATTTCTTTCACCAAGTCAGACAGATTCTTGCTGTATTTTGTTCTATTCTTTGACATCTTTTTTTTTGGTGGGGGGGAGTTGCTTATTATGCTTTTTCTCCTAGATGTGAGCTTAGCTATTTCTTCCCCCCTCCTTTCTTTCTTTCTTTTTTTTTTAACCAGGAATGCTTGCACTTCAGCAATTTCTTAGGCTATATTTTAGGTTGGGGCATGGACATCTCTCCATTTTCCTTCTGTCAAAAAGACTAATGATGAAAACAGCCTTGGTTGGAAAAGGTGAAGGGAAGCCATGATATATGGGGGCATGGGTAGGTTTTCCAGGATGAGTCAGCTTGGAGTAAGCAGATGACAAAGCAGGATGAACGGGAGAACCTAGAGACATTTTCAGTTTTTCATATCTGGAGATGTAATCTTAGGGTTTATCTGCTTGGACTGTTTGGTTTTTATCCTGCTGGTTGATACTACATAGGAATGGTAATAGCAAGCTTCGGCTATTATATAGAGCCCAGATTGATGTATTAATTTGAGAAATTATAAATCAAGAAATGTCCTTAGGTCTTTGACTGTAAAAATAAAATAAAAATAAAGTTTGATAATCTGGACTCTAATTCTTTCCTCTCTTCTTCTACCCCTTGTGCTTATAATAGCATTATACCCTTTCCAGAGGCTTCTAAAATCTTTTGATGTTGGTTATAGTTGATATTAAGTTGAACATTATGTAGACTAAGGCACATTTACACATTGATATGAAGATATGTAAAATTAAAATATTGTATTTCACGTCTGATCTTCCTCGTTTCCCTAATTATGGTATGCTACTCTTGCTTTCTGACCTTTTCACAAGGTTTATATAATTTGATACTTAGGATATTTAGCCCTTTTCTAATTACCTATTTAACTAATTGTACTTTAAAACCAAACTGGTCTAGCCTCCCTTATGACACTTTATTCTATGACCTCTAGTCAATATGTGAACTCTTCTTAGCTTGTACCTGTGTCGTACAATATGGCATCTAATTGACTATGTACTCACTGAGGGTCCATGTAGTGTGGGGCAGAGTGTGGGCTTTGTAGTCACCCAAATCTTGATATACTATTTGTGCTGCCTTGGGCACTGCAGTTTCTTGTTTTAAAATGTGAGGAAAACAATGCCTAATTTACAGCCTATTTTGATAAAACAATATGCAAAGTATAAAGTACATATATGTCTTAAGTACTTTCAAATAAAGGAATAAATATACAAAAGGTTTAGTGCCGTGCCTGGCATGTTGTTAGTGTAAGTAGTAGCTATTATAATGTTTTTGTATTATTCTCATGAGTCATCTTTTTAAGTGGTTTATAAATTCCATAAGGATATGTTCTCTATTTTGTATACTTTCATACTGCACATAAGGTCCAGTGCTGTTCTTGGCAGATAGGATGGAATGTTTCTGAATATAAGTAATTGAGCTGCTGGTGATCTGTGTCATACAAAAATAATGACACCTCTCGAGGAAGGAATTGCAGTATTTGGTTCCAATGTGTTTCTAAGGTGAT